GTTAGGAAACAAAACTTCCAGAACACGGCCACACAGCCCGGAAGACCCACACCAGCCGATCCTTTGTTTGTTTTCTTGGCTGTCCACGGTATTCTCAAGAGCCTTCTCCAACACCAAAGTTCAAAAGTGTCAGTACTCTCCCTATCCTACTTCCTGCTTCAGTGTTAGTAGGGCAGAATGGTGGAATCATTACTGTAAATACCAACTTCACCAACTCCATTGGTTAGCAGAGAATTATCATACTCCAATTTAAAGCCTTAAATTGTTTGGACTCAGATTACTGACGCATCTTCACCCATAGTTTAGGATCAGTATTTGAGGTATTTCCCATGTGCCTATCTTTGAGGAATATCAAACTAACCAAAACAAGGGGAGGGCTTTTTCTGCCAGTCCCCCCCCCATTCGAAAAATTGCTTGCCATCAGGGGTCTGTCAAATGCCATCACCGTAAGCTAACTTTCAAGAAAATCCTACAGTTTTACCTGATCTATTTGTTCTTTCCTTAAGTGCATTCTATCAGGTTAAGTTTGATTTTAACCAGTTTTGTTTTAGATTTTGCATTATTTCAGATAGATGAGGTTTGTGCATTATTTTTCTGTTTTATTATTATTGGGGATTTCCTCTTGCAAACGCTTTAGGTAGGGTTTTGCTGATAAAGATGACAAAGTATTTATTTATTTGGTAGTACATAAATCGAAACTCACATCACCTCAAAGATTACACCTGTTATCAGTTAGAAAGACATTCTTATTTCTGGGCAAAGTGTTGAAATAGATGGCTACTGCTTGTTGGAACCATTTCAGTCTGAGAGAATACAACTAAATCCACTCAACTGCAGAAGCGTGGCAAGGTGGCAGCAGCTGCGTGGACTAAGAAGCTGATGAAGAAAATGCTTCTGCATAATTAAAAACCACTGCACTTTATTTAATTTTAAAATTTTCCATAAACTTCCTTTTCCAAAACAATCAAACACATAATTTTAGACAAAGTTTGCTTCCAAACCTCCTTAGCTGATGAAGCACAAAATGTGGATGCTTCAGGAGTCAACTTAATAGTTCAACCGATGTAGAGCTGGCTGTTTGCATTGAGAGTTCAAGCACTACTGATGCCAAGATTTAAGCCATGCCCTGACTTAAATGCCACCTATACCATCTTCCAGCAAGGCTCACCCATCTCCAAGGCAATGTAAACCTTATCCTCCTTATCACTATATCACCACAACGGTGCTGTACGACACTTGTGATGAAAGGGCCTCTCCGCATAGGCGCCTGGTATAAACCGCTATAATGTTATATGTATCACAGCATTATCCTGCAAATTAAGTGAAGCATGTAATTTGAATCAGTTGAAAAATGAATACCCTTACATAATTCACATCATTGTGCAGTTGACATCAGAGATGTCTGTAAGGCTGTGGGACATTTTCCAGGGAGCTTCCATTTTCCATCTGTAAAATATAAATAACAGTAACAGAGATATCCCAGGATGGCATGGAATTATATTGAGGGCTCGCCCAACTCTTGCTACTTCTTGCATCCAGTTGTTGTTTCCCTGTTACACCATGGAACAATGTTTCCTGGGTCTGGAATATGAGTTTAATATGTTGGGTCTGTCTGTCTGCCCATCTCTCCCTCTGTCTCATGGCTGGGGAATCCTGGGAGTTGAAGTCCACGCATCTTAAAGTTGCCAAGGTTGAGAAACACTGTTGTAAAGAAGATCAAGGAGGGGCTGTTCTGAGTCTCTGTCTCACTCATCTGCTTTTCCAGGGCTAAACAACCATTTCACTTCTCCCACTTCCTTCTCAAGGCCAAAGAGACATAGCCAGTGGGAAAACATCCACGAATCACTCATCAATCACTGAACCTGGGCTGGGGCTGGGGGAAAAGTGCAGGAAGAGATATGTTTTCATAGAGTGGCCGCCTTAGCCATCTGTCAAAACCTTTAGATTTATTTTAGGGGGCTCCTGCTTTGGTAGCTACCACAAAGGAGCATCAAGATCTCTAGAGAAAATGGTAGAGGACCATTTTAACCCAACCTGCCCCCCTGGGCCTGAAAGGCAGGATGCTTTATAGAAGTCCTGGTCTACTGCTTTCTCTACTGACCTTGATGCTGGTATTCCTCCTCTCCTGGCATTGTGATGACCACGGAGGGTCAAACCAAATGACCCCGGAGGGAAGCTGGCAGTGACTAGAGAAGAAGGAGGAGCCTGCAGCAGCTGCAAGCCGCCAATCAGAGCAGGGCAGGTTCTAGACCTGCTGCTTCATCCCTGCAGTTGCTCCCCAAAGTGCCATATGTTGTGCAAATAGCAAGAGTTGGTATTTTTTTTCTATTTTTACATCAGATCAGAAAAATCCCAGTTTGGCTGGCTTTGGCTCTGGGCTGGAGATAAGAAGAAGGCTATGTCCTGGGCATGCATCCTGAAAGAATGGACAGTGAGAGACATCAAAGCCAAAGTTAGGGGGACATCGCAAGCACTACCCAGAGGGGCAGGACTTGGAAGATGACAGCATCAGGCTGCTTTTCTAGTTTGGATGACAGTAACAGAAGCCTACAGGTGCCTGTGGACACATCCCCTTGGTGTTGCAGTTCTGAGACTGGAGGATGTTTACCCTGCCAGTTGGGGATGTGCTGAAGAGGGAAGGCAGCAAAGGGAGAAAGCAATCCATTGCTTTGCAAATTACACACTGCCTACCCGTTCAGCAATAAGTAAGAACAGACACATTAGAGGCAGGGAAGGATGAGTAGGGACCGCAAATCTCCTGCCACTCTAGCTGTCCACCAACTCAAAGATGAATAGATAGCACCATAATTCAGGAAAAGGTGTATTTTTTTTCTCTGTGTGTGTGTGTGTGTGTGTGTGTGTGTGCTTTCAATTCTGTAGGTGTATGTATCTGTGCATCTTCTTCTCTGTTTTCCGCATGGGTGTCTGTGCAATGAGATAAAGCAGGCGCTTCCACATCATTGTCATTTCTAATCTGCACTCTCTTGAAAATCAGCTCTGCTCCCAGAATGCTGCCAACATTGAGAGAACAAGCAGGTCCAGAATGGATTGCAAAGTGCCACGGAGATCTGAGATAGAGGTATGGAGACAGGAGCAGGGCACACACAAATAGCAAGAGAAGATGCTCCTAACGTTTCATCACTCACCATTCTAACCCCTTGGCAGCCATCTTGTGATCACAGGTTCAATGCTCTTTAAAAACTTCTAAATCTGCCCAGAGGCCACAGTGATCTGGGAGCTTCACGATAACCTAAGTGTCCAGGCTGTTCCGATAGAGAATGCAAAGTTATTTGGAAATGAAACACAACAGACCAACATATCTTTGCAGTTACGTGAACCTATGGCAGACAATGAGCTTGCTTTGGTGCTGATTGCTAAACAAAAGGTTTGTAATTGGCCCAATCAAATATTTTACCTCCCAAATGGCAATTGATTTAGACCATGCTGGCTGGGGAATTCTGGGAGTCGAAGTCCACTCCTCTTAAAGTTGCCAAGTTTGAAAAACCCTGATTTAGACTGTAAGCTAGCCAAAAGATACATTTAAATTTGTATTCAGTAAAACGGCAATTACCAGTAACATGTTCACCCTTCTGTTTAAGCAATTTTTGTGTTTGGAAGGATAGGTGTTGACCCAGAAATGTGTTAGTATCTCCGAACATGGGCAGAATGCAATTCCTTCACCATCAAATACTTGTTTTATTAGAAAGCTTACAGGTTTCTCATGGAGCTCCCATTCATTCTTAGAATAAAGATGATGTTGAAAACTCATGCTGTACTTTTGCAGAAAGCTTGCTTTCTATTTTATTTTACTTTTTTTTTATAGTGAAAACACTTTTTAACATACTGTAAAAAATCAGATGAGGCAAAGAGCCTGGCAGTCCCTAAAGGAAGTATCTGCAGGCACCAGGTTGAGGATGCCAGGAGCAAGGAGAGGGTGACCCTTTGGAGTCAGGTGGGGACTTCCAGCTCCAGCCCAAAAGCTCTTTACATGCCATACCTTAACTGGGGCTAGCCTGGAAAACTGTATCGCTAATTTAGAAGAGAATGAATTTGCCTATGGCACCTTGTGCACCCACCTGTGTCAGCCCATGCTTGGTCTTAGAGGTCCTGCACCCCTCACAGTTAAGGGATGGCTTCATTTTCTCCTCTACCCTGCAATGGCTTTGGAGCTCTTAGGCCAGGCGGAGGCCCTGCTCTCCCCAACAAATGCCGCTGTTCATCTCAGAGCCAGATAAGGCAGGGCAGGGCAGGGCAGCCTTGCGGATCTGTGGGTGGTTGTGCTGGGCGAGTGACTCACTCAAGAGTTAAGCAAGCCCCGTGCCAGGCTGGAGCCCCCTCTCTATAAATAGCTGACCTTTCCTGCTCTCCAGACTCAGCTGGGCCGGAATCCAAGAAGGAGCGTGCTGATGGCAAAGCTTTTGTTTGAATGTGCAGGATTTGGTTTGCCAAGACCTGTCGGCAACTCTTTCTTCAGTGCTGGAGGCTGGCTTTTGCAAATGGCAGATAAAGATTGCCGGCATCTATGGCAATTGTGCTACGAGTTGACTATAAAACAGACCTATTCCAGGGCCCGCTGCCATTCAGATGAATTGTGGAGGATGCCTTGATGGGATGTTAGTTGTAGGCTTCTGAAATGAGGAACATCCAGAGTTCACAACAGGAGACAGAGGGACGCAGGCCTAAATGTGTCACCTCCAGGCTTAAGGGCTTTCTTGGTCCTGCTAAAATCATGAAAGCAATACAGGTAGTCCTCGTTTAGCGACTGTCTTGGACAGCAACTGTTTGCAGTTATGATAGTGATGAAAAAATAACTTTGCAAACAAAGGTTGTATGAAAGATTTTTTGTATGTATCCTTTGCAAAAAAAGTCAGAAGTCGCATCGTCAAATGTCCATATATGTTTGTATCTTTTCTTCTGTTGTTTTTCTTTTTTTTTCTATTTTCTAATCTACATTTCTACTATTTTTCTTCTTTCGCAATCCTTCCATTTCGCATACTTTCATTGTAATCTTTTTTTCTTTCGTCTTTTAATTTGCATATTATGAAAAATAAAAATAATTGAATGACAAAAAAGTAACTTTGGACCAATGCTCATATGTACAACCCTTGCAGGTCTATAAAGCAAAGGAAAGCTGAAGTAAGATCATAAGCACAGTTGTGGTTTAACTTAGTGACCGCTTTGCTTAATGATCGAGTTGCCAGTTCCAATTGTGGTCACTAAATGAGGACTACCTGTATCCTGATTCCTCATAACTTGTACCACTGTCACATATCTAGATTTGGGGAATGCTACACATTGTGGCTTCCAAAGAGTCTTAATGAGTCCCATCACCATATTTTATCTTTGCAGCATCTTCATGACTCCATTTCAAATTCAAAGAATTCAAAGGAATTCAAAGAAAATCTCACGAAACAAAGAGGAGTTGCTGCACTTACTTTGGAGTCAACCTCTGGGTTGTTTGAGGAGCAAGACCATGTGGGAGGGCTGGGAGACCCTATACAAGGGGAGGAATAATGTGTAACGGCTTGGAGGAGTAGATCTTCAAAATCCCTCCCAGCCCTTACGTTCTATCATCCTGTAGAAGAGACGCTTCCTCCAGTCTGCTCCAAGGGTGCCAATTAGATAAGTACAAATATCATTACCATATTATTTCAGCAGATTTGCATAGGGGTTATTTGTGGACAGAATACTCCAAGCCCTGAAAGGAGTCAGGCAAAGGGCAGGTCCCCCCACTCCCCAACCTATTTCCCTCCAAGCACAAGTTTGTCACTTAACCTCAGAGAGGCTGGAATGCGTCCGGACAAATTCTTTCCAATCTAAAGAGCAGAAAAGCAGCTATCAGCAGCCCAGCGTCTGCTCAAGCCTCCGTGTAAACATTGGCAGACTCATCTTTTCCATCAAGTGGCCGACTACCTGCGCACAACTGCACAGAGGCTATTTTTAGCCTGCTCTTTCCAGCAGCCCAGGCAGAGACAAAAGCACACCCCACTTTAACAACAGCCTCTGGCGAATCTGGGCTCTTTGTAATTTGGTTTCAGCCATCATTGTGGCTTTGCACACTGCGAGTGGGCTCTTGAAGTCCAGCACACCAGATCTTGCATTCCCAACCACGTCCAAGTTGCCCTGGAGAGTAAAGAAACAGTGTAAGATCTGTCGGCCTCCCCTTTTATGAATCACTTTGGCAAAAGATAAGAAGATTGTTGTTTATCTGCTTAATTGCTACCCTTTCACCAAGGGGGCAAAGGAGTAAACCAGTGTTGTCCAAACTTGGCCACTTTAAGATGAGTGGACTTCAGCTCCCAGAATTC